TCGACGTGATTTGCAAACGTCTCGCGAGTGCAGCGAGTGCAGTTCATCTAGTGCGGAGGTTAAGGTGTTGTGTTACCCCGGAGGCCGCAAGAGCTGCGTACTTCTCCTGCTTCTATGCCATTGCCGGGTATGGAATATTGGTTTGGGGTTCAGCTCTTGGTATAAAGAGGGTCTTTCTCCTGCAGAAACGTTGTGTGCGGGAATTTGACGGGTTGAAACCCACAGATAGTTGTAAACCCTCCTTTATAAATCAAAATATACTTACCATTCCGGGTATATACCTCTTGGCTTGTTTAGTTTATGTTTATAATTTTAAAGACAAATTTTGGACGAACTCTCAGTTATATGAGTATAATACGAGAAGTTTTAAAACTTTCTGCGCACAGATTCAAATTTACACAGCGGGGTATTGACTATCAGGGGGCAAAGTTGTACAATAGATTGCCAAACCATGTAAAACTTTTAAACAAACAAAAATTTTATAAATATGTCAAAGCCACGATTATTAGACATTGCTTTTATTCAGTCCATGAATATACAAATTGTTTGCGTCTCGATTTTTCTTGATGTAATCCTGATATTGTTATTGTATCATTGTGTTATATTATGTTATGTATGTTTGACGTTTTGTTCGATTCGTTTTGTATCAACAAATAATTAAATAAATTTCTTAAATAATTTTTATTAAATAAAAATCATTGTTTGGCTTGATAAATTGCACATCTATATACAGGTGTGTGGCAACCACCACAATTATAAATTAAATCATAAATGAATTCATCAAAATATAAATCATAGTAATAAGTTCTTTTTTAACAAAAATTGTAAATCCATAGAGATACAAAAAGTGTTGTTTATTATTATTATTATAAAATAAAAAGTCAAGTCACGTTGTAACGCAAATTGGTTTTACTCTCTTTTTAAATTGTCCCACAAGGTGATTCAAAAAACCGCTGACGGACTTCTAGAGTAGATAATACATGAAAAATTAAGATGAATAGTCTTAATATACATGGGGTCGCAAATGCCTCGTTGGCGAGATATAGTGGATCAAAGTTTCTTTAAAATTAAACATTATCTACAATAAAAAGCACTTTTTTAAAAATATTATCTACGCCATTGCTCTTTACGCGTGTAAAGTGATCAATTATCTATCAGTTGGTCTCTTACAAAACTTTGATCAAAGCAATAGTTTTTAAGAAAAACACGTTTGTAGAAAATTTGTTAATTCAATCAAAAACTGTTGCTTTAATCAAAGTTTTGTAAGCGACCAATTGACCGTACCCAATACCGTATTTTCTCGAATGTAATCCGCACCTTTTTTACAAATTTTATGTGCTCTAAAATCAAATGCGTTTACAATCGGGTGCGGATTAGATTCGCAATCGTATAGTTGCAATTTGGAAAATAGTAAAATAAAATCACATTATAACAATAACACTTTATTAAGGGTTTTAGAACGATATTTACATTTTTATGTATCATTTTCTTCCCATATTACGTCATCTTCGGATTATACAAAACTTCTTAAATGATGTTATAATATTGTTTTCAGGGATCGTTTTCCATGTCGCCTACACTCACTGAGCAAGTTCAGAAGCTCCTTTAATTGCTCCCGGTTTTGTTAATTCTCGAGTTTGTTAATATACATATACATACACACGTTGTAGTATGGATGTTATTCCACCAGGTATTATTATTATGACAAAAAGTCTAAACCAAGGGCAATCAGTCTATGATTAATTAATATCCTTATTTAATAATCCTAGTGATCTAAGACTCCATACTTGTCTTAATCATTCCATCATCAGCTTTTTCATTATCCATCCTTTTTGTTGTGCCCTAACTAGGACGTCATTCGGGAAGTCTTTCAGATTTCAGAATGGTTTTTTTCTCAATATTACTAATGACAGCAATTTTTCCCTATCACTTGTTACTGCTAGCATCAATGTTATGCGCAATTTTTCGCAACCACTCGTTTATAAAGAAATTTCCCACACACCTCTTCTTTCCAGTGTGTAGTNCACAAAAAGAAATAAAATTTGTACCTTTAAAGCTAATTTTCTCAAAATTTTCCTTATGTAACCCATATCGATATTTACATCGTTAGTCGCAGAGAAATATATACTTTCAGATTCTGTAAACAAATGCATATGGTGCCATTTAAAAAAAATGTCGATGACGTCATAACTCATAAAAAAATGATTATCAGGAAGTGAATATGGTGTCATAATGTGTGTTATGATTAACCAAAATTGACCCGTTTCGGCATTTTTGCAAAAAAAAATTTGTTATCAATTTATTGAATATGTTCCATAATTTTGCCGCGCACTGTATGTATAATTAAGCACACACCACGTTCGAGCTACTACGAGGGCAGTATATGAACGGCATTCGTGCTAGGCATTACTATTTATTTTTAAAATTATATTTATTTTCCAATTTTTTCTGGTTTGGTAAATTTAAAGTCTAGTCTAATAAAAACTCGCCGTAAGCAAGGTTTCTTTAGGTACATCAGCGTCAGTCAACAGAAAAAATATACATTCATGGTTAACAACAAGCATCGCATCGTTTTGCTGTTGTCGAATTGCTCAAAGAAAGATGCGGATTACATTCGCAAACTAATTTTTTTACCACTATGCATTTTTAAAATCGGGGTGCGGATTAGATTCGAGTGCGGATAAGATTCGAGAAAATACGGTAATTGATCAGTTTGACAAAATTAGCAGAGGAGTTGAAAATATTTTTAAAAAAGGGCTTTTTATTGCAGATAATGTTTAACTTTAAAGAAACTTTGACCCGCTATATCTCGTTAAGGAGGCATTTGCGACCCCATGTATATTAATACTTCTTTTCATCTTAATTTTTGATGTATTACCTGCCCTAGAAGTCTGTCAGTGGTTTTTTGAATCAATTTTGTATGTTCTTTATAGAATCATAAACTATGCATTTGATCATGTGATGATCTTTAGCAAAGTTGTTGTGCATGAGCCCACAAAGGTTTCTAAGTTGGTACGACCAATTTTCGAAATCAATAAAATGACTCAAAATGAATTGAATATTTGCGTAATGTCTTTCCTTTAAATTTATTTTAATTGGTGGCGTAGCAACGCGCACAGGGTACAGCTAGTACCCTATGAAATAAGGGTTCTATTCCTTAAATTTATTTAAAAACAGTTTGTTTATCAATAATTTGTATATCATTTTTTAATTTTTTTCTATAGTATTAACGATTGTTCTTGGTATTCTTTAAAAAGATTTTGCAGTGGGAACAAATGGGTTACTTAAAAGAAAATTAAGGATATCCTTGGTTAAATTCTATAATTAAGGGGTTTATAAAAAAAAACATGCATTTTTAAAAAAGGCAACTACCAATTTATTCTACCAAAATAAAGCGTATAATACAAAGGTGAATACACAAAAAAAAAACAGTAGACAATTCGATTTTACATATCTACGTAGACTAGTTATTAGTTTTTTTAGGTTTTTAACTTTCATTTACTTCTTACTTTCCAATTACACAATTATACAATATAACTTATGACAATAATTTATTACACGATTATTACAATGTAATAACTTTTTTTATTACCATCATTCTTTAAAGGTTGTTTCCTGTGTTGAGCATAACAGATATTATTCCTTTTTCGATTATCCTCAGCTTTTACATATGCCTTTCCTTTTTATGTTTTGTTATTGCTAAAATTTGGTATATTTGAGCATATAATATATCAAGAAATTAGTTTTTTCACAATTATTTCGTAACAAAAAAAATGTCTGTTTTTAAGCTCACAATTTTCAATGAAAACAATTTTTTTTTAATCTTTTAAACCACAAATTTATATTTCTAATATAATATGTATATTATTATTAACATCATCAGCACAAGTTCCATTCATCAAGGTTTGCTTTATACATAATATTATTACTTCGCAAGTTTTATTTTTACAATATTTTTTTAAACAATTATTTTCTGTCTGTTTCTGTTAAAATATTTAACTGCGCAAAGAGAAAAATATAGTTGAATTTAAAAAATAAAATAAATTTATGGCAGCCAGTGTGTAACTTTACACAAACTACACTTAAAAAGTAAAAAATTTAACCTAAACATTAAAAATTAATGTAAACTATTTATTTTTCAACTACATTCTTCTCTATTTTTTTTTATTAAAACGATACAATAAAATGGGCCGAATCATATTTGATGGTCTTACGTAATAATAATAATTTAGAGTTAATTTAAGATTATTAATTATTAATTAATAAAAATAGTATCAATCACAGACAATTCGCAACATATAATTTATAAATACGTTATTCTTTTAAGATTATTTCGTACAAGTTTTTTTTAAATCTTTTAACTACTTATTTCTTTATCCTTTAAGGTAGTTAACAGCTATTTTTGTGTGTTTTTATAAATAACTACTGGCGGTACCTAACACATCTATAACTACGTCTGTCAATACAAATTAAAATTATTAAAAAAAAAACTTAAGACTTTCAAAGATTGTTTGTAAAATTCTATTTTGTTAAGTAAGTTTTGTAATTTATATAATCATTATTTACATAAGTAAGTGAATAAAAAGCAAAAAAATTGATAAAACACTTTGGAGTTAAAAATAACTAAACATTTAATGCGATATTAATATCATTCGAGCAAGATTTTTGGGTAAATATCAATTATCATTTAATTTTGATGTTAGATTAATACTAACTTCATAAAACTGAAAAATATTAAATCAAAAAAAAAATATTGCTCGCATAATTTCATCTTAATATATACTTTTTTAATTTCTTTTCATAATTATATAAATACAACACTTAATATTACAACATTACCCTACTACGTACAGTCTCTCTTACCATTAAACTGATTTCTTTCTTTCTTTCTTTTTTAAACATCTATTTACAAAACTTTATTTCAATATTCAATCAATAAAAATACAAGCTCCAATTAAATTTCTTTCAGCTTTTCTTACAAATTCTTTTCTTATTAAATCTTTTTTAATGATGATTCACACAATTTTTTTTCTTTACTTTATAAATTATCAATTAAGCATTAGATTAGATTATTACAAGAGTACAATTTGTAAAAAATAGTTGCCAATAGTTGCGCCAAGTTTTTTCTAAAGCTGATTAAAGTTAACAAATAAACAATTTTTCAAGTTTAACACGTTTCTTTTTTATCACTCACAATTTGCAAAAAACTTACGGAAGCCTTTTTATTATCATTTCCTTGCGAAAAAATCTGTTTTGTATAGATTTTTAGGTAATTATTGAAAAAAAGATGTTGATGTATTGATGATTATCAATGTATAAGCAACCTAAATAATATATGAAATGTTTAACTATCTTTTTATTATAAAAAAATCAAATTTATGTAATAAAATTAAAATAAGCTGATATTATTACAATCAATATCATTAAATAATTTATATGATATATCATTTGGGTTACCTATACATCATTAATCATAATAATCATATCAATATATTTTTTTTTATTTAAGGATTTTTATCCCTATAATATTTTTTTCATGCAAATCTTTCCTTTAACTTTCATTTAACCGTTTTCATTTACATCCTCTTAATAAGTAGGTAGCGTTATATTTTTATACATTTCTATTCAGTTCGGAGATTTATAGTTTTGACACGAAACACACACATTTACTTTTAAATTTTAGTTATCACTCACGGGAACGTTTCTTTCCTCTCTCATTTTTTTGTTTATTTTCGTTTATTCGATATTCGCATGTTGTAATAATAATAATATAAAAAGAAGTATCAGTGGAGGTTTAAACGTAGTTGTGTTACTACTAGATGGTGTACGAGCCGTTGTTGTATCAGGACGTCCATATTCAGGGGTTTCACCTTTTCTATTTCCATTTCCTTTTTCTAAGAAAAAAAAAACGAACATAATTTAAACAATAATTTACAATGTAGACCATGTTTTGTGGTTAAAATGAATAAAAATATAACTATGTTTAATGTTGGTTTCGTACATTCAAAATTTTGTTTTAGTAGTTTTGTATTAAAACGAAAAATGGTCAAAACAAAAAACAGTTTGTTAGTACATTCTAAGTGTTTTTATGGTTAAATGATATAAACGGAAAACAAAACAAAAATTACCAGTGCTTGGACCGTCACCTGAGCCTGAGTAGACTGTTTCATTTTCTTCATCAATACCTCCATACCCAGAACCAGACCCACCATCCGGATCATCACCTTGTTGTTGAACATAATTGTCTGCTTCAGGTAAATTTACACCACCCAATGATGATATTACAGTCTAAAAACATTTTTGTTGATAAAATATTTAAAAAAAACTTTGATTAAGTGTAACTTACCTGATGAACATGACGTAATTTATCAGCTAAAGCTGCAATTCGAGGATCAGTTATGTCCATTCTTGGTTTAACTTCAGGATTATATTTCTCCATTCCCAAATTAGCATCAACAACAGTTTTGGTGTATCTATAAAAATAAGTTTAATAATAATCAGTTATGATAAACATTTAGATGCCATTTTAGGATGGTGTTCATGATTTTCGATTCAAATTTCAGGATTTCATAGTCAAAGATATTTTCGCAATGTACCAAAGTAAATACATAATTGCTTTAGTTGATTAGATAAATAAATAAAAAGCAATTTTGGTCTAACAATAAATGTTATTTGAGGTTAAATAACTTTTAACCTTTGAAGAAACGTGGGTCTGAAGATGCACGGCTAAATTCGAAACTTTCTAGTTCTAGGTCTAGTGTTGAGCGTCAAGTTGTTGCATATTTTTATTGAACCAAGAGTAGAAAGATGTGTAAACGAATACACATACTTAAGACACACTATTAGAATGGGAAAAGAAAATCAAAACATGTAGAAATCACAAGGCCCATACGATTGACGTAGACTAAGAAGCGATAGGATCACTATAAATCTAAAGCGAAAGGTATATAACACGTGTTTTCTGCCTCTACAAACATATGGACTGGAAACAATCAGTCTAATAAAAGCATGTGCAAACAAAGAGCTAACAACTCAAAGAACTATGGAGCGATGCATGCACTATGCGATAAAATAAGAAACGAAAACATTAGGAGATAAACAATGGTTGCTGATATAATTCAAGAAGTGGCTAAGATGAATTGGCAATGTGCTGGGCATGTGGCCAGGTTGGCTAGTGATAGGTGGACATATAGAGTAGCAGTGTGGAGGTCTAGACGAGCTAAAAGAAGTGTACAAAAACGTTTGGTGGACGACATTACGGAAGTGGCAGGTTGATTGCAGCATAGAAGAGCATAGAGAGATGCTGTTCTATGAGAATTCTATGTTCATATAGAGATTAAGATGAGAGAGACTTATGTTTGGAAGTGGACGATCACAAGTTGATGAAGAAGCAGAAGAAAAAGAAGAGTAGAAATAACACTAAACCTAAATCTAGAAACATTCGGGTTTAACCGAGCGTCTCAATAATACGAATAACAAAGCAAATGTAACTAAAAATTAAAATAGGATTCCAATACCGATGAGGGCATTTGAAGAAACTCCTCAACATTATAGAAAGGGCCGGTCATCAGAAGACGCCACACTCCTATCCTGAAGCGGCGATTAGACAGCTTTCTTGTTTGCAAAGAGCATTTATTACATAATTTCACGGCTAGGTGATTGGTGCTGGTTTGCGTTGTATTTATACGATGATAAGGAATTTGATAGTTTGGTAACGTGTCTCGTAAAAGTGAATATCAGAACTTTTTGGGAAAGACTTTTGGGAGGAGTGGACGTAAAGAAGACACCTTTGGATAAATATCGAGGTTAAGGTAAGTATCTTATGTTGTAAAAAAAGTTGCTTGTAGTTTGTGATATCTTTTTCACCTGTTAAAGCCCTTACTGCAGTCTTTTATTGCAGGAATATATATTTCGCCACCGATGAGTTTCCCCAAAATAAGATACCATATAATGCCTTACTATGAAAGTTCGCAAAGTACGTAGCCCTAGCTGCCTCATATCCAGCTATTGCTCTAGTACGCCTAATAGTAAAAATCGCAACAGCTAGAGATCTTTGAAGATACTCAACATGCGAGTTAGGAATTTTATTGGTTCTTGCTCCCGTACTTCAGGTTTTGTCGTAAGTAGAAGTTTCTGCGTCTTGTCAACACTTAGCTTCAAGCTATTAGCCCTAAACCATTCCACATCTTCAGCCATAATAATTTCAGTGTTCTTTTCACATTTATCTCACATTTATCTTTCGATGTTAGCATGAAAGACGTGTCATCAGCGCAAAGCACAGGACCCAGAATTGATTCTTGTGGGACATCAGAAGTAATATTGGTAAATTCTGAAGTTCAGCCCTCTTCTATTGCACGCACTGCATTCTATTGCTTAGATAACTACGGATCAAGTTTACTTAATAGAGTCTCATGTTGGAATGCCTTTGACAAATCACAGCATAATAATTCAACCTCTTCTTTCTCATCGAACGCACGTGCCACAGCATCAATCAAGCTTGTCAGAACCGAGGTGGTAGCCTCTTGACTGCGGTAATCATGCTGGGCTTCATTAAACAACTTGTTGTTTTCCATATCAATCAATCTACATTTTAATAAAGATTCAACAATTTAAAAACTGGAACTACTTTAGCCACTTTAAGTTTGTCAAGGAATATGTCGTTTGTAAAGCAGCAATTTACTATATTGGCAATGGATGTGACCAATACCTCGATAACCTTCTTAAGAATGTAGGTAGAGACGCTGTAAATATCAGTGATTATCTTTTTTGACAAGGAAAGAACCGTTTGTAGTATCTCTTGTTCGGTAGTGGGCTTTAAAAAAGGATGGTCTAGGTTTAGGTCTTCCGCAAATATCTCAGCCTATGATGCAAATGGGTTCGATCTACAATAGACCATATATACACTTTGTGGCAGATTTTGGAGAAGGGTTACAAATATGACTTTGATATGAACCGCTTGTTCTTCGATTTTTAACAGGCTTTCGACTCAGTCGACAGGCGGAAGCTCTTTCAGAACCTGTTGCTGCTGGGTATCTTGTACAACTAACATTGAAGAAAACCAAAGCCGTGGTGGTGGTAGCAGGAAATATGACAGATATCTTTGAAATCAGAAGCGGAGTCAGACAGAGAAATGCCTCGATTTTTAACTTGACACTTCACGCGGCTATTTCAGAAATTATTCGAAAGGGTAACTTAACAACTAAAAGCAGACAAATTGTCGGATACGCGGATGACATGGTCATAATTGGGCGAAATGATGTAACAATAAGGGAGACGTTCCTTGATTTAAAACCGAATATTTGAAGATGTTAAGTACATAGATTTAAGACGACGGATGAGTTTACATACTTGGGAACACTGGTTAAGTAGAACAATTCTGTAAGTAATGAAAGAAAGACAAGAATAGGAAAGGGCAATAAAGCTTATTTCGCAAACAAGAAACTGATGTGTTCGAATAGGACTAAGTCAGAGGTCTAAAATGAGAATATATAAGAGTTTAATACTAAAAAAAACGAGGAAGATCTAAGAAAGTTTGAAAGAAGAATACTGAGAAGGATATTTGGTCCAATACAAGAACAAGTTGGAACTCGAATGAATTTTGAACTCAGTCTCCTGGTTGGTGATGCGAACATAAGCAGATTTGTTAAATCTCATCGAATTAGATGATTGGGGCACATAACAAGAACGGGAGACGATAGAAGTGCAAAAATCCTTACAGAAGGAAACTAACAGACAACATACAAAGAGGAAGACCTCGTAAAAGATGTTTTGACGACGTGAAGGATGAATTCAGGGCGATGGCATTGAGAGACTGGTGGAGAGTGGCTAGGAGTAGACGGGAATGGTGTAGAATTGTTGAGGAGGCCAAAACCCACCAAGGATTGTAGAGCCAAAGGAAGAAGAAGAAGGTGTTAAGTTATTTGGATTTAATGCAAAAAAGTAAATAATAAAATTCGGATAATAAATTTTAAGTTTAGTAACTTCCAACTAACGCCATCTTTTGCCTGACGTTCGTTTCTATTGACAATTGCGGACTCACTACATTGTATTACAATTATTAATTAAAAATTATTATGACTAATTAAAAATTATTATTATTAATTAAAAAGAAGAATAAATTAAACAATTTTTAGAAATTGCGAATTAAATAAATTGTAGTCAATTTTAAGTTGGCACTTCTGAACTGCAAATTAAATTCAAGATGTCAATGTCATCGACATCAATTTTAACGATTCATCAAAGAATAACGAATTTGTAGCGGTTTTTGTGTCGACTCCAGGTAAAATTTAAAAAAAGGTTACCTTTTTATTAATTTTAATCGTTACATTAAAAAAATTTTCAAATAAAATTATTATTTTGACATTTAATTTTTTTTAGGTTATGTTAATTAAGTTAATTAAAAGAAATGTTTAAAGAAAAAATACTTACTCTCCAATTCGTTCACCATTCCAACATTTCTTATCTCTGGTTTCCGCAAAGTCCTCTTTACACAAATTCTCAGCCAAGTTGTCGTAGAAATTCTTACTTTGTGCGATCGACGTTAGGAAGTTATTGATTTGGGCGACCGGTAACTGAGAGAAGTTTCTGCTGCTCGACATCCTTTGCTTTCCGCCTCCCGTTCCACCACCTCCGTTTTCGCCAACTTCCGCACTACCATCGGACAACAATGGGTACTCTTTTTCTGCGAACTTTAGCGGACCGCAATTCCTCTTCACCTATAATACAAATTCAAACACTATTAGCCAAGAAGAAAAGAAAAATAAAATCGAAATCATTTTCGTTTTCACTAAGAAAAGAAGTTTTTGAAAAGAAGAAAGAAGGCTTTCGAAGTAGTGCCCAAAAGAGAACCGGTCCTGCAAAAACTTTTTCTTTAAACTCATTCGAAGCTGTACTGTTAGGATCAACGATCTCAAGAACGAAACCGGACGCTTTTAATTTATAAATTATAATCGCCTTTTTTTAACCGATCTATTGTTCGGCAAAGTCATTTACATCTCGTGATAGATTATAAAGCAAGGAAACTTAAATTATAATTAAATTGAATGAGATACGTTTATAATTTCTCAGAAATGTCCAAAGCAATAATTCAATCTGTTTCTGGCAAGTGACATTCAAAGGAAAGGACTTGTAAATGACTTTAGTGAATCACCTTTCAAGATTTAAACGACTTAATTAATATCTAAAATGATCATTCTAAGATATGTTCCTGGAGATGACATTTAAAAATTAAAATTTGTTTCATCTTAACTAACATAATACCTTTTGTAAATGTAACTGATACGTTTAAGAGCCACTCTTTCTTTTATCAAATAATAACTTGCGTAAATTGTCGTCGTAAATAGCCATTTTTTTGTAGCAAGCTTAAATAATTAAAATTTTAAGCAGGTCTCGTTCAGTTGATGATATTAGTTAAGGGTTAATATTGGTATTTATTTTATCGAGATTAGAATGTACGTGGCCAAAGAGATTTTATTTTAACACAAGTCTTTTTTCAGATAAATACCCATGTGTACGCGGAAATGGTGGAATAATAACCTTGCAATGCTCAAGAGGAGAACAAGTACCTCTAATAGAAGAAAAGACTGATTATGAAAAGGCTATTATAGGTAAAAATACAAACTTTATCTACGAATGCAAAGTTAGTCATTAAAAGGAAAGTTAACTACTTAAACAGTTTGTAAAAACAAATATAAGTTCAGAAATTTTAAAAGTTATTAATTGAATAACTTTGTAAAAATTTCTATAGATTCTTAACAAGTTTGAACGAGTTCGCCGAGACATTTATCGCCAATTAGATCACGACAATAGTCTCATTAGATGGTATTCGCTATAGTCAGACCATCTGTTCGTTTTCAACCCGTTGTACTGAATGCCTTGAAAATCTTAATAATAACAATTCTAATAAATATTAATATTTGTGAAATGTGTATACAAAACAGGCAAATGAAAGCCCGTCTAGTTTTACTTCTAGTTTTACACTAGAATTAACACAAGACCTAGAACTAGAATCATTCGGGATTAGCCATACTAAAAGACGTGCGGCTAAACCCGAAACTTTCTAGTTCTGGGTCTAGTGTTAGTTCTAGTTTTGCACTATCACTAGAACTAACACAAGACCTAGAACTAGAATCATTCGGGTTTAGCCGTCTTAAAAGACGTGCGGCTAAATCCGAATGTTTCTAGTTCTAGGTCTAGTGTTACTTCTAGTAGTAGTGGCTAGGTCTAGTTTTAGTTGTTATTCACCGTTAGATTATTGCATATTTTTATTGAAATAAAACAAGAACTAACACTAGATCTAGAACTAGAAAATGAAATTTAAGTAATGAAAATTTTAAAGTTATTAATTAAATAACTTTGAACGAGTTCAATTTCATAGACATTTATCGCCAATTAGATCACGACAATAGTCTCATTAGATGGTATTCGCAATAGTAAGACCATCTGTTCGTTTTCAACCCGTTGTACTCAAGACCTCGAAAAACTTCCATTTTTGAAAAAAGGTTTTTCGTTTAACGGCGAACGCAACGGTAGGTACACGCCTTTAACGGTCTGCTACCGGACCGTTTTTATATATAAAAAAAGACAACTCCGAAACTCTTTTTTGAGCTCGACTTTCTCTCTTATCCATATATGGACTTAGAAAAATAACCGGTCACCGTCACTGCTATTTTAATTAATTGGCAGGTTAACAAATAGTAAAAAAGAAAAATAGAAAGAGCTCATTCTATCAAAATTCCTTTATGAAACAAAAAGAAACCATACTTTATTAGGTGTTCTTTTTTTGCGTTAGATTGTGAAGACCTAAAGTATAGAAAGGTGTGAGTCATGGCAAACACACCGTCGTAGGTAAGGTTGTGTTTTATAAAAGAAGGTTTTCACGAACAGCACCGACAAGTGTGCCCGGGTATTATTAACGGAAGAATGCGAGGTGAACACGATCCTCCTATGACTCAGACTTGTTTCATCCTAAACCCTTTTGCCCCTTTTTGGTTTTGGATAGGTCATGACTCGATGCAAAAATATACTTTGAAACAACTTTAGTTTTTACTTCTAATTTATTAGTGAATTGGTGGATTTACAATATTAAAATAAAAAATTGCAATTTTTTCATTTGTTCATTCAGTACATCTACTAACTAAAAGACAATGTTGTCCTAAAATACATGGACGTTGAATTAGTTCAAATAACTTTACTCAAGTGTATGCAACGAGCTCGACATTGATAGAATAAACTTTCACACAAAGTGAATACATCGATATATTGTAGAAAGAGGAAATCAATGTTACAAATACCTTCCCAACTTTGTATGTACTTAATATTCACTATTTGTTTTGCACTGAAATATAGACAAAGTCTAAAAGCTCGCATTATACGCACTTTCTTACTTCTAAACAGCCACTCGTTGGTATTTATTCTACAAATGTTGTATAATCAATTTAGAGTTAAAATTTTCTTAGCTGAATACCTAGTAGCAAGAAGTATCGTGAAGTAGATGGCGTCACCTTGTCACCAAGTTAAATATAAATATACAAACCTTTTTCTTGCATTCTAGACATAAAAATACGAATATGTAGTCTTTCGTTTTTACTTACTTTTTACCAGGTATGGCTTGCATGTTTCTTGCTCATTTATCTGCTAAATTATCGTTGTGCTCATCTTCACCATAACCTAATAAATTTCTTTCGCCGAACATATGTTCAAGTAACATTCTGAGTTCGCGAAGTAACCTATTATACAAACGATCTTTCAGGTCGAGTTCAAATAATTCCTTAGCTGCGTTTTTCATCAAGTCCATTTTAATTATAATTGACCTACACGATATGATTTACGCAAAATATAAGTATTTATATTGAGGTGGCGGTAAAATATTGTCATTGGCCAAGGTGGTTCGACGATTTTTTTGATAACAGGATTCATCTATCTCTATAGAATGTGTATTGATGAAAACTACAACACCGCTTAATTTCTTTTAGGCACTTGCAAGAGTATTACAAAGTCTTTATGTTATTTGCCTCTTATGCGTGGGTTTACTTACATTTTATATCTTTTCATAGTGACAACCTTTTCAGTTGCACTATTAGCTTTTACAAGTTTTCCCAATTCTATTGAAGTGTACCAATTTTCTGTTGTGGCATTGCGGTTACTGCAACTGGGGAGGAATCATATTAACTAACGTGGCTACTAAAGCATTAAGTATGATAATACTAGATAAAACCAAGCTGACTTCAGGAGCCAGAGGTTATACATAGATCATATATTATTACATACATTAAAAACGATTCAAAGAAATAAACGAAATGGGACGAAATGTCCTCGTGCTGTTTAATGGACTATGTGGGAGGTTGTATGGTATACCAGGGAAATATATTTGGTTAATTAGAGCACTATATGAGAATTTCAGTAGTACAGTAGAACATGGAAATCCAACGTGGAATGAGACTGTACTATATCCTCCCATTGAATAATTAAAGGAACAATAAATAATGTTACAGGTATAAATTGAAAAGATGTTGCAAAAATGAAAGATTTGGAGATGTCAGTTATCTAATAACACATATAAGGAAACAAATGCAATACAAAGTATGGAAATTAAAGGAGGCAGCAAATAAGATTGGTGCCAATAGAAATATATAAAAAATAAAACCACTTATAGTTGGCAAAGAAATTAATCAAGGGCAAGAGATAATACAATAAGACAAGAACATGTATGAAACATCTACATTCCAATATTTATATAAATGCAAGTGGGGATAGTAAAATCAATATTGATAGACGAATAAATCAGGCAAGAACGGCGTTTAATCTGCTCAAACAATTATCATTACAGTACAATGGGACAGCAAAAATTAGATTATTTAAAAGTAATGTCATGAGCGTACTATTATTCGGAGTGGAGACATGGATGGAAAATAAATATAATATAAAACGGTTATATACAACAAAAAATAAATACTAAGAAATTATTACGAAAAATAGAAATAACGAATAAGGAAACAATCATAAGAGAAAGGAAATGGCAATGGATCTGGTATACCTTGCAATAGGGATAAAAAATATAACAAGATAATCCCTTCAATATTCTATGACAGGAACAGGAGGACGGGGAAACCAAAGGACACATAGAAACCAAACTTAAATAGAGATCTAATTGCAAGGAGATAACATGGAACCAAGTCAAGATAAAAGCAAACAATACAAGAGATTGGAAAGAACTGACCGCAAAGATAACAGGAGAATAGACCTCACCGAATGAGAACTCAACTCGTCGTCGTCTACTTAACGGTTTAGGCCTTGTTGACTTGTACCTATCTGTCATACCACCTCTTTCGTGGGCGTCCCACTGATCTTCTTCCTCTTGGATTATACTACAATGCCAATTTTGGTATTCTGTCATACTGCATTCTCTGCACGTGGCATCCATTTCTCTTTGTATTCTTTGATTTTATCGTCAACTGCGACAATTTCCAGTTCCTCTCTAATATCTTCGTTCCTGATATGATCCAATCTGTTACAACCCTTGGTCGCCATTTCCGCGGACTCTATCTTGCTTAACTCCTTTATCTTTGTCACCCATGCTTCGCTGCCAAACATCAGGATCGGTATTGCCATTTCATTTGAGTATCCTTCCTGCATTTATTACCCAAAGTTCGTCTAATAGTTCCATACATTCTTGTGAAGATTGTCAATTTGTGATGTATGTCCTAAAAGTGGCTGATCTGTTCTAAGCGAGCGTTATCAATCTATATCTTAGTTCTTATTGGTTCATTTCCTATTTATGCCATTGTTTTTTGTTTTTGTCTTAGAGATTTCGCAGTTGTAATCTCTACTTATGCTATTGCTGTATTGCTCTACTTATGCTGAATTTGATCCTTCCATTTTTTGATTGAATCCCATATAGAAATTGAATAAAAGCGACGACAGACAAAAGTCTCGTCTTATTTCTTGATTAATGTAGATCAAATCCAAGTCTTCGTCTGAGATACTGTTTATTGTTATAGCGGTGTGTCTGTAAAGGCTTTATTGCTCTGCTTAAGTGATCAGGAAAGAGAATCAAAGAGAGAGAGATCAGGAATGAGAACTAAACTAAGAACCATAAACAGAAGCAGGTAGAGTTGCCCGCCTCTCTGCCAAAATAAGCAATGAAACATCAATTAGCGCCTCTTGCTCCTTACAGGAGCTACAAGAATAATAATAAGAAGATGGGTTTATATAATTTAAAGACCGCTTATATGGTTACATCTCTTCTGTCTTATAGATGTATTGTAGCCATAGGCGGTTCTGGCATTGGTAAGATGGTGCAGTTGCAAAATGGAAACGAGCACAAAATGCCACCAACTATGGCTATGTTCTGCATGCCGATTGAATCTTTGTCACAGCAATATTGCAACGAATAACAACGATCGAATCTGTTCTTTTTCTGTCTTCTCGAGTATGTTGGTTATCAAATCTCAAGGAATTAGTAGAATGTGTATACTACTAAATATCATGACTAAATAACGCAGTAATATGTTCACGGTTTTGCTTCATTATAACTCGTTACATCGCCTAACCATCAAATATATCATGGAAATCATTTAACTACACAACACAAAAATGAACTACAACC